TTCCTGTCCTGACTTCCTTTGATAATAAACAGTGATAAGGAAATGTAAGCCAAATAAATCCCTTCCTTCCCCTGTTGCTTTTGATCATGGTGTTTCATTACAACAATAGTAACCCTGACTAGAACAGCAAGCAAGAGACCCAGGTCATTCACGATGTGCTCAGCTTATACCTCACTGTCACTCTCCACTAGGAGAAGTCAATTCAATTACTTGTGCAAATATGTATTGCTGTGGGAGACACCATGCTTTCCAGACCCCCCAGATACTTGCATAGAGAAAGTTTCCATTGCATAATTAAGGAGGCATTTGCTTTGTAGAAAACTTGTAAACTATGAAAGTATCCACACTATCCATCATACTCATAATGCAGAGTATTTGAAGAAAAGCCAACCAAGAGCAGGGCTGTGAGGGAGAAATAGATTCATTTCTGCTCACAGACTTTTGGGTAATTTGTAGCATGAACAGTGTGGTTGTATAGTTTGGGGTTTTAAGCAACCAGAATGATTGCTTTGCATTCTGATGGTAAGATGAGAAGGTCCAGACATATGTACATTAGGTAATGTAGCATAGTGTGTAGGAATAGACAACTACTTTACATGTGGCAACCAGCAGGAGGTAAGGCTGACAATTTTAAAATTATAGCTGGATCACAATTTTGACACAAGTAAAATGATTCTATACCTTCAAAAGTTGCATTTGGGGTGGATTAAAAGATCAGTTATGGTACTTAAGCTGTATTCTTCTTATATTAAAAGAGTAACTACTAAGTAGCCAAGTTCACTCCTTTGGGACTGGGAATGCCTGCTAGGTCACTACCCTCTCCAGCCTCCCTGTGGTACTCACAAGTGGAGGCTGCCATCTCACTGACATTTTATCATACAGCCTGGTAGGACATTCCTAACATGTACTTCAGTTCACTGTATTTACATATGACTACAGATATCTATTGTCCCTTTTGTGCTACCTGTGTAAGGGGGATGATTCTGACAAATGGGCTGAGGTAATGATGTATGTCTGGGAGAGATGAGGGAGAAGTTTCTATGAATTAAACAGGAGAGAGGCTGAGAGGAAAAGCCCAGGAAAGACAGGCCAGAAAGGCCTAGAAGGAAATTTAGGTGGAAGGCCAAATTTGAGAGGAAACTAGGCAGCCTGGAAGAAGATTTATGTTTGGCACTTTTAGATGGAAAATGTGGAGTTGAGTAAGATTGTAACCATACGCTATTCTTTCTCCATAATTCAGGTGATCAGTCTGTGCCCAACACTGAACTCAAAGTGGAACAAGGAGACAGAACAAGTGAGGTACATATTCCAAGTCTATGAACAGCCCTCCATGGCCTAAGATTCAGTCTGTTTTTACATTCAGTCTGTTTTCTCCAATGTATTTTCTTTACATTATTGTTTCTTCTACCTGGAACTCTTCCTCTGGAGTATTACATTTAGTCTGTTTTCTCCAATGTGTTTTCTTTATATTATTGTTTCTTCTACCTGGAACTCTTCCTCTTTAGGCTCTACATTTTACCTTCTTGCTTCCTATCCACATGCCTATTTTCTGTTCAAAATGTCACTGATTCTGGAAGTGATTGTCAACTCTCCCTTGACCTCTGAGTATGTCCAGTGAACATATTAAATGAATGCAAATGTGCATTTATAAATTAATGGAATGCCAGTGAATGAATGTTGATGTTACTTAGTTTCCTCTATGAAAAGGGTGATTGTTAATTGTCAACTTTAAAGGGTCTAAAATCACCTGGGAGGCAGGTCTCTGGGTATGCCTCTGGGGAGTTATCATGATTACATTAACTGAGGACCCTCCACTTGGTACAGCCTCCACCCTTCTGTGGCCTGCATTACAAGGTAGGTTTCACTTTCACAGTAATGGAGGTGGGAAGGCCCGCCCACTTTGGGTAGCACTGTTCCCTGCTTGGGATCTTGGACTGTGTAGATGGAGATACGGTGTTGAGCAGCAGCATGAATTTGTCATTGTGTGCTTCGTGATTGTGGAAGTGATATGACTGGCTGCTTCAAGCACTTCCTGTCATAATGGACTATACACTTGACCTGTGAGCCAGAACAGTTCTCATAAGGGATCATCCCATAAGTTTCTTTGTTTAGAACATTTCATCACAGCAATAGGCAGCCCCCACTCTCCCCCAAAATAACTAAGACTGAAATCAATACTGAGAAGTGGGGCCACTGCTACGGCAATCTGATCATGTGTTTCTTAGGATCTGCTTTGTGGCTTGAATTTAGAACTTGGAGTTAGGAAAGTCCTTATAGGCTGTAAACAGAGATTAGTGAATGGGCCATTCTGGTGGGAGTTTAGAAGACTGGACTGAACAGGGAACACAGACAATGGGAGCTGCATTGATGCGGCTCAGAAGGAACAAGTATACTATCAGGAACTAGGATAGGACCATTCATGTGATAGTTTGGCCAAGAAGCTGTTTTTATTCTGTCTGTCCTGAGGACTTGAATTTAGTGGCTGGCTTCAGGTCTATGAATGTGACACACCCATGAGAGATTGTCTTGAGTTGGTTCATTCAGGTAGGAAGACTATGATGGGATGGGGTCATGGAGTGCATAAAGGGCCAAAAGTGGACTGAGCACAAGTATTCATTGACTTCTGTTTCTTGATGTGGATTGATATCCTTTCCATAAATTTTGCCCATAGAACCTCATAGAAGAATGAAGCCTTCAAACATAATGAGGTCTCTTCCCACAAGTTATCAGAACCAAAATAGCCAGCCTTCACAGCCCCTTTTCAGCCTTTTGTATCAGTAGCACGAGAAGGTCCAAATCCTCAGATAAAATTAAGTAGCACGTTCTCTTTAAGCAATTGAAGATTCCCCAAACCATCAAGGCACCAAACTGTAGACACAGGCAAGAGTCATTACCTAAGTGGTTGTTAAGTGTCATTTCAGGAAGGTGCATTCCCTAATGCTGTGTCTAGAGTCTGATTGTGGGGTATATTGTACATGTATTGATCATTAGTTTGGAATATGTACTTAATTTGATATCGGCTTTCAGGACTCTCCATTGATCGGTCCTTCCAGCATTTGATCCATGCAGCTGCCCCTGGCAAACTTGTAGATGGCACCAGTATAGGCCCATTGCTGTGTTTCTCTTGCTGTTGAATAATTTTCTTGCTTAGAGTCAAGGTATGGGATACAATGAGAGGGGCTAAGGTATAATGCGTGTCCAAGGATAACGGTATGGGCAGAAACTTACAGAGAGGGAAGAATCAGTTCTACTCTAAAGAACACAAGTGGCTGCTCCTAATGATGCAGAGTTCCAATATAATAAGCAATCTGTTGCTAGGTGGCTCGCTGGTGTTCTTGACAAATAGTAGTACACTTAATGGCTCACTTTCAGTCTCTGCTGTTGTCAGCTCAGACACTCAACAGTAGCAACTACCAGTTGGAGAGTACAATTCCATGTTCCTAAGGTCTTCCATCACCTCATATCTCAGTATGGGCTCTGAGATGTTCAGGGAAAGAAACTATATCCACAGACTATGTTACCAAGGATATCTGGCTCCTGAGAGATTCTGGCTGGTGGTATTGATAGCTGCATGATACTCTGTTAGGGTTAATTTTATCAATTTGATTGTATTGAAAAACACCTAAGAGATTAGAATAGCATGCTTTAGATAGGTCATCTGTGAGATCATTTCCACAGATGATTGGATCATGAGGCATAAAACCTAACCAATGGTTAGCCATCTGATGGTTATATAATTTGATGGCATTGTTGGGAACTAATGGAAACTAGGTGGAAGGGCCTTTTGGAGGAAGTATTCAGTGGAGATGTGCCTTTGAAGGCTGTATCTTGTCTCTGCTCTTCCAGTGTGGGTGTCTGCTTCCTAGCAACCATGAAGTGAGCTGATTTGCCCCACCACATGCTATATATCAGCAATCTGCCAACATTATTACTTCACTTTCACAATGGTAAACATTCTTGGTCTCAATCAGTGGTTCTCAATCTTTAACACATTTCTTCATGCTATGGTGACCCACCCATAAAATTATTTAATTGCTACTTCATAACTGTAATTTTGCTATTATTATGAATTGTAAATATTTGATATTCAGGATAGCTGATATGTGACCCCCTGTGAAATGGTCATTCAATCCCCAAGGGGTCACGACCCACAGGTTGAGAAACACTGCTCTAAATGACCAGAACTATGCCCTTAGTTGTCACCCTTGAGAATGATAGTCTAATGGCGGGGGTTCATGGCCTTGTGAACACATGAGTGTTGGGGCAAGTGGTCATTGTTGGTTGTCGTTATCTCTGTCCAGCTTATTTTTTGAGACAGGGTCTCTCACTGAACCTGGATCTCTCTGATTGGCTAGAATGGTTGGCCAGTGAGCTTTGGGGAATCCCTTGTCTCTGCCAACTTAAGTGCTGGGCTTTCAGATATTTGTACCTCCATACTCAGATTTTATGTGAGTGCCAGGGAATCTAAACTCAGACCCTCATGCTTGTGGAGCAAACATGTTACCCCTGAATCATCATCCCAGACCTGATAGGATGTTTTGTTTGTTTGTTTTTGACTCCGTTTAAAGATAGGATCAGAAGCTCAACTAGAATGCTTAGTTACTTATTTAAATGGGGATAGCATTAATAGAAATGGCAAATTCAGAACAAGGAACATACTTATTAGAGATGGCAAGGAAGCAAAAATATGAGGAAGTGATTTTAAATATAAATTTGAGAATTTTAAATCTTAGGCAAAGGCTTCCTTAAGTCAGACCCAGCATCAGCCTTCAACTCATCTGGATAAATGCATCATCCACTTGGGTAGTGTCTTGGCCTTATTCTGACACATACACCAGAGCAATAGAGAGCATGTATGTGACAAGACAGTCTCAGGCTGACACTCCCCTGCCCCAGCGTTCCACACACCCCCACCCCCCACACTGTGGCCATTGCTTTAGGATTCATGCAGGTGGTGGAGCCACCTTATAGAAACGTTTATACAGAGAATTCTTTATTACCTCTGACAGATGTATTTTAGCCCCATTGCATCCAACCTCAGTTCCTGGAAGGCTGCCCAGCATTGTTGCTAGATACCATTGCCATGGCAACCATAGACCATGCCACCAGGGTGAGATATAGGAATGCCAAAGTAGCCTAAGAACAGATTTTTTTTTTTTTTTGGAGGCCCTGGTCCCTCTGGCGTCACACCTGACAGAAGCATAATGTATAACCCACGAGTGGAACTTGAGGGTAAAGCAAGCTAGGATATTGAGGTGCTAGGGATAGACTAACCTGGGAGTGTGTCTCACAGAGAAGCAGGGGCACAAGTTAGTCTCCAAAATGTAAGATTGTTTTTCTCTTTTTCCTCTGAAGATAGTCACTGTGGCTAGATCTTCTTTCAGAACAGAATCGTCTAATCGCTATGTCTTGGTCCTTGACACCGTGAAAGCAACTTCATTGAAACAGTCTTCCTATTGCTGCCATTACCTCACCCACAGCAAATGAGCTCTCTCATCTGAGATGGAGGATGGAGTGGAGCACTGGTAGGGGCATCACATATTTCTAAATTTGAGGCCAATGGACCAAGCATTTGTATTGCCCTGCCTTTGGGGGCTGGCAGCGGTTACAGGGGCTTGCTTCCCATTAGCTTCATGGAGCTTGACTATATGACTGAAATTTAGTCTAATAAAATACTTATAGCCGCAAAATGGAAAACAAAGGATTGTTAATTACAAGTGATTATAAAAATATAGCTTGATTGAGAAGAGGGTTTCTGTAGTCATGCAATTTTAATGCTAAAACAGGTTGCAGCCTTTCAAAGGATTTTCTTCGCAGAATTACTGAAGCTTTTCATTATGCTGTGGGTGGCAATAACTTGAGGTGGAGTATCAGTATTTTTTGTTTTGTTTTGCTCATTTTCTGTCCCTTCTGTGAGACCTGCCAGGCATGTCCCTCTCACCAAGGGCATTTGAACATTACCCACACATGTGCTTGCTCTTCCATTTCTTTGTTTCCTGGCTTCTATGATATTAGGTGCTCTACACTAATACACACACATGCACACACCCTGTTAGGATGGACTGTTACCTCTCAAAGTGTGAGCTGAAATAAGCCTTCCTTTCTGAAGCTGTTTTCCTCAGGCACTGGCCACAACAATACAACTGGCCAATACAGCTTGACATGGTGGTGTATGTCTTTAATCCCAGCACTCAGGAGGTGGAGCTCCGTGAATTCAAGGCCAGCCTAGTCTACAAAACGACTTCCAGGCCAGCCACGGCTATGTAGTGAAACCCTATCTCAAAAACAACCCCCCTCCCATATAGTCATCTAAGATGTAGAGCCTTTTAAAGGGAGGAAGTGAGGGAATCCCCAAGTCTGCTCAATTTCTTTTAGTTTTAGTTTTTGTTTGTTTCTAAAGGTTAGTTGCCCTTTGTCTGTATCTCTGTCTTCTGGTCAAGAGATAGCATGTAGTAAGCATTCATTACGTTTGCTTTGCTATTTTGAATGCTCTCTCCTTTCTCTTCCTCTTCCTCGTGGATGCTCATTCTTCATCTATGTTGGTTAGTTTCTCTCAACTTGACTCAAACCCAGACATATCTGGGAAGAAGATATCACAGCTGAGGAATTGCCCCCACCAAATTGGTCTGTAGACAAGTCCATAGGACATTTTTCTTGATCTGTGACTGATATGGGAAGGCCCACCTAACTGTGGGTGGTTTAACTGCTGGATGGTGGTCCTGGGTTGTACGAGAAGGCGGACTGAGCCAATCACGTGTGAGCAAGTCAGTTGTCAGCATGCTTTCATGGTCTGTGTGTCAGTTCCCGCCTTGAGTTCCTGTCCGGACTGCATCAAGTTGCTTTTGGTCGAGGTTTTTATCAAAGCAACACAACCCAACCTGCCCCAGAAATTGCTGTGACAGACCCGATCGCGTTGTTCTCAGGGGAAAAACAGCTAAACTGCCCCATTCTCTAGGCCCTTACCCCTGGACACATATCGTGCTCCTCCCCCTCCCATCTCAGCCCTAGCAAGGCAGGTGGGCCCTGTCCCCAACTCTGGTGGAACCCCGCTGCTCTGGTGCAGACCCCAGCAGTCAGCCAGCAGATGAGAGGTTTGCTGGCAGGCTGTACCACCACCACTCCCACCCACTGTTCCCACAAGACCCATTCGGCTGCCCAGCCACACCTACCCCAGCATCCTCCCCTCGGACAGCCATCTCCCACAACATCAGCAGACCCTATAGTATAGGGACAAGCACCACCTAAATCAGTTGGAAGAACAGATGGGTAAACATCAGAATACATTCAACAACATAAAGGGCAATATGACACCACCAGAAACCAGTGTCCTACAACAGCAAGACCTGAACATCCCAATGCAGATGAAGCAGAAGGAAATGACCTGAAAAATAACTTTATGAAGATGATAGAGGCCCTTAAAGAGGAAACAGAAGATTCCCTTAAAGAAATCGAGGAAAAGATAAGCAAAAACAAAAAAAAAACAAAAAAAAAAAAAAGGAAGAAATCAGTAAATCCCTTAAAGAAAGCCAAGAAAAACAATCAACAGGTGAAGGAAACAGTTCAAGACTTCAAAATTGAAATAGAGGCAATAAAGAAAACACAAACTAAAAGGATTCTGGAAATGGAAAATCTGGATAAGTTAACAGGACCTACAGATGCAAGCATCTCCAGCAGAATATAAGAGATGGAAGAGAGAATTCCAGGCACTGAAGATATGATAGAGGAAATAGATTCAATGGTCAAAGAAAATGTTAAATCCAAAAAATTCTTTTGTTTTCAAGACAGGGTTTCTCCGTGTAGTTTTGGTGATAATCCTGGATCTCACTCTGAAGCCCAGGTTGGCCTCGAACTCCCAGAGATCCACCTGGCTCTGCCTCCCGAGTGCTGGGATTAAAGGCGTGTGTCACCACTGCCTGGCTTCCAAAAATTCTTAACACAAAACATTCAGGAAATCTGGGACACCAGATAAGTGTTAAAATAGGGATAGAAGAAGGAGGAGAATTCCAGCTCAAAGGTGTTGCTGGAGGGCTTCTCTCCAGGTTCCACCAAGCCCCGCAGTCCCACAATTCACGTATAAAATAATCACTCAGATGCTTATATTATTTATAAACTGTATGGCCGTGGCAGGCTTCTTGATAACTGTTCTTTTATCTTAAATTAACCCATTTTTATAAATCTGTACCTTGTCACGTGGCTGGTGGCTTTACATTGCTTGTCCTGGCGGTGGCTGCAGTGTCTCTCCTTCCTTCTTCCTGTTTCCCCAATTCTCCTCTCTCCTTGTCCTGTCTATACTTTCTGTCTGGTCACTGGCCATCAGTGTTTTATTTATATAGAGCGATATCCACAGCACAAAGGCATAAAAAATATATTCAAAAATATGTTGTTTTTGCGCAGATTGTAGAAGTATTTGGAACTTGGGTTGGGAAAGTCATTGAGTGGTCAGAGCTTACTGAGCTGTTATGGGAACTTGGGAGATAAAGCCAAGAGCAGTATATATGATGAAGGCCTGACTTGTGAACTTTTAGAAGGAATTTGAGAGTCCCTTAAAGACTTTATCAGGGTCACTCATGTGATATTTTGAATTAAGAATCTCTGATTTCTTGTCAACTGGGGCTGAACACTCAGCAGTAATTAACAAGAGACCAGAACCACTGACATGAAACCTCTACTTTACTGGGATAATCAATGTTGATTAGACGTGGGTGAGAAATCAGTTGTGATTAAGGAAAAGATCAACATCGTTGAGCTGAAACCGTCTTGGAGTATCTCTTCGGGGTCAGCACACAGAAGCTGGGGTCCAGAACGTGTCAAGGCTGCATCTTATGCTGGCAGCTGAGCTTGTGGATGTGTCAGAGTCTCCTACGTGGTAGAAGTTTTGAGGAAATGAAGGAATCACGGAGAGCAGCTGAGGCTTGGCATCATGAGAAGTTTGGAGAGCACTGGTGAACGTGTAGTCTCAACTGCAGTGTAAACCCCAGGACTGAAGGAGTCACGGTAAGAAACTGAGACTTGCGGAAGTCACATCCTGTGGAGACCCCAGTATATTGGAGATGCCATGCCTGTGGGATGACCAGTCGCCAAGGATGGCAGCAGCTGTGGAGTGAAACTGGCTTGAGCCTACAATGCAAGTTGTGTATACTGTGGCTGGAGAAGTGGAGCTGCCCAAGATTAGTAGAGCCAAGAAGATGGTGAGCTTCAGAGGTCAGACATTAAGCAATTAACATTGTTTGGCTTTGCTTTGCCTTGATTGTGACTGTACCCCGATTCTGACCTGTTGTTACTTTTGATTTTATAGGAGCCCATGGTTGAGAAGCATTAAGAGATTTTGGATTCTTTTAAAGAAAAGTTGGACTTTTGGAGTACTGGAAATATTTAAAGACTGGGAGACTTAAAATGTTGCTTATACTTTATACTGTTCTATTAATATTAATATATAACTTGGGGGACAAGTAAGAAAGGAAATGTTATGATTTAATACTGATATGTTTGTGCATCAAGTTGGCAAGGGGTCAATTGTGCTAGCCATTTTTTGTCAACTTGACACAAACCTAGTTATATCTGGGAAGAGGGGAATCCCAGTTGATAAATTGTCTTTGCCAGATTGGCCTGTAGGCAGGTATGTGAGGGCATTTTTTTGATTAGTGATTGACTTGGGAAGGTCCAGCCCATTGTAGACCTGGGAAGGTGATGTTGGATTATGTAAGAGAGCAAGATGTGCAAGCCATGGGGAACCAACCAGTAATCAGCATTCTCCCATGAACTCCATCTCAGTTCTTGCCTTTGGGTTCCTTCTTAGAGTTTCTGCCTGAGTTTCACCAACAACATACTATAAGCTATAAGCTTAAATAAACCCTTTTCTCCCCATGTTGCTTTTGGTGATGGTTTTATCACAACAATAAAAAGAAAACTAAGACAATACCCTTGTCTTTACTGGAACCTGGGTGTACATGTGTTTTAGGCTCCCTAAAATTAAAGATTGATTGAGGAAACTATAAACAATTATAATGAAGCTGTATCACTGAATAATTCTTAACCTGAGGGAGCTCGTGTCCTAATGAATAATAGTCA